AGAAGGAATGCTATCCGCCACCAGGAGATATAACTATCACTGAATCCAGAGCACAGATAAAACTACAAGCAATTTTGGATTTAACAGCTGAAAAATTCATAAGAGTGGCAAATGGTGGAGTTCTAAAATAGGGAAATTCAAAGTGTTCGGTGTGTGCAGACGTGCTTTTAATTCGCTCTGTTATTTTATTATCTTTTCTTTCGTAATGGAGAATTTTTGCGGAAAATGTACTAAAGCCTTTTCAAGATCTGATGCTAATCTGCTGCCGTGTAATGGGTTTTGTAAAAAAACTTTTCATCGTGTTTGCTGCAAAGACGTTTCTGAATACGATTTCAATTTGGTCAAAACAAAACGTAACCTATTATATCTTTGTGATGAGTGTGTTGTCATGCCAGAGAAACTCGTTAAGGCTCTGGATGCAGTTCTGGTAACTCAAAAGCTTAGTATTGATCTTATTTCAAATACCTTTGATGCTAAATTCAAAGATTTATCGAAACAATTTGATGCAATAAAAGATCTAATAATCTCCTTGCATTCGACCAACAACAACTCGAGTGCAAATAACCTTAACGCTGTGAATGCTGATATGATAGCTGCGGAATTCAATGCCAGAAAAACTGCTGCTAATATTTCTTACAACAATAACTACTATTGTTCCTCGCCTGGTGTTTTGGAGTTTTCCGCTGTCCCTCATGCATTTAATTCGCCTCGGGCACAGTTTGTCAGTAACGTTAACGGTATCTCTCCCGCTCATTTGGATTCTGCTGTGACAATCGCTACAGCTGTCAATACAATTGTAACTAACGATAGCACATACACCTCTATTACTGCGCCTACATCGCTGTCAGCCGTTGCTCTTCAATCTACACCAGCTGTCTCTCTTAGCACTGCTTCTACTAGACCATCTTGCTCGTCGTTCGCTGATGCTGTTTTGTTGTCTAATACTAATACTAATATTAATACTAATACTAGTTCGCATGGCTCTAATACTGTACGACAAGTTGGTGGCCTCATGGATGCAAATACTGACGCGGATTGCACTGTCAATTTACCTGCTGTTACCACTACCACCACGAAGCCGTCAACCCCGTGCACTGCTAATGCTGTTGTTGCTGCCAATACATCTTTACCTGGTATGAGCTACGCTGCTGCTGCCGCTGCTGGCACTAATTCCGTGCAATCGAATGGAATTCGCTCTGTTAGGTCTCCTGCCGGTGCTGTTGCGGAAATCAACACCGATGATTCTTATAATTCAATTACAAATTACGCTGCTGCTGCTGATACAATTTCTGTGCAATCTAATGTTAATCATGCTTTATCGCCTACCCATCTTTCTACTAATTCCGCAGTGAGCGACATTGCCTGTGATAATCCAAATGCAAACACTTTAACTGCATTAGGGTGTGCCAATATGCGTTTACCTATTAATACAGCCGCTTCGCCTTCTACACGCATTAATAATCTAAATGATATCGGGGCTAATCTACCTCGTAATAATAATGCTAAGAAAGTGAATGATCTGCGGGTTTTTGGATCCAGTACTAACGCTGATCTTAAGGTTGCCGAGCATTTAAAGTGGCTTCATCTCGCCTCGTTTATGCCATCAGTGGAGACTGATGATATTCTTATATATGTTGAAAAACATTCGGGCATCTCTAAAAACCTTTTATCCTGTTTCAAACTTGTAAAGAAGGATGCGGCAACTGAGTCTCTAAAACATGTGAATTTTAAATTGGGTGTTCCTGAAGGGCTCTTTCGTAAGCTGCTTATGCCCGAAATCTGGCCTGCCAATGTTACGGTTCGTCCTTTTCGTTTTTTACAAAGAAAGGAAAAACAGTCTCAACCAGCCTAGTAAATGTTAAACCTGCGAATGAGCTGAAAATCTATTTTCATAATGTGTCTGGCATGCGATCTAAAGGTGATGTGGTTCGTAGACTAAGCTCACATCAAGAATATGACATTTTCATTATAATTGAAAGTTGGCTAACCCCAAATTTCTTTGATGCTGAATTCTTTGATGCTACTCTCTATAATGTATTTCGGAAGGATAGAGATGAATTAAAAACTGGGTGTTCGAGAGGTGGTGGAGTTTTAATCGCGGTACAACGTAAACTCTGTTCAGCGTCTATCAATTTGAAAAATGCAGACTCTATTCTTGATCAACTATGCGTCAGTGTGCGGTGCCCGGGTGGACTACTCTTTCTGTGTGCCTCATATATTCCTCCGAACAGCAACTATATGATTTACAAGGCACATATCGACAATATTATTTCATTAAGTTCTAGTATAGGAGATCACCAACTTTGTGTTCTTGGGGATTTTAATTTATGTAATATTTCTTGGCGTAATTTGAACAGCCTATTTGTCTTAACTCCTGTAAATATTTCTAGTGAAAGTGAAATCCTTGTTATTGACAGTCTCTTAAGTATTGGTTTATGTCAAGTCAATGGCTTTTTTAACAAGCATAATCGGCTTTTAGATCTAGTTTTTTTATCTAATAATTTGCATTTTCGATTGTCAGTTTGTAGTTCTCCGATCTCAGCTGAAAACTTGCACCATATTCCTCTAGTTATAAGCCTACAGTTCTATGAATATTTTGCTGCTCCACAATTTAGTTCTCGTCCCAAATTAAATTATAACTTGTGCAATTTTAATGACTTGAATTATATTATTCGGGGGTACGATTGGTCTCACTTACTTGGTAACTTAGATACTGCGAAGGCCTTTGGTCTTTTCAAATCATTAATCTATGAGGTTTGCGTAAATAATATCCCTACTTTTCCAAGAAAATCGTATAAGATACCCTGGTATACTAAACATCTAAAGCATCTTAAAAATCGTAAAAATAAGTACCATAAAAAGTTTAAAGCGACTAAACTACTATTTTATTATGAGCAATACCAATTATATTTAAAGAAATTTAATGAACTCGATAAGTTACTCTACGCTAAATACGTTAATTACCAGGAAGCTAATATAAAAAAAAATCCTAAAGCATTCTGGAGTTATATTAAATCCAAATCTTCGAAATCCAGCATTCCTGCGTCTGTTTTTTATAAGGATAAACTTGCAAGTTGTCCCGAGGAAGCAGCCAATATTTTTGCCGAGTTTTTCTCCTCAAATTTTGTCTCCGACTCAGACATTACCCATGCTAATGCCTTTATTCCTGAATGCCTACCTGCGTTTGGGTCGCTTATACTGTCGGAAGTGGACGTTGGTAGTGGTATTGATTCACTTAAAACCTCAAATCTTATGGATCCTGATGGCCTTTCAGCCATACTCTTTAAAAAATGCCCTGCATTAATCCAACCTTTGACACTGATTTTTAATATGTCTTTAGCATCGGGTAAATTTATTGATGATTGGAAAAAGGCTCAGATAACCCCGATTTTTAAAAGTGGCAACAAAAATGATGTATCTAATTATAGACCAATTTCAAAGTTAACCACAGTAGCGAAAATTTTTGAATGTGTTATTAAGGTGAAATTGTCATTCTCAGTTAGCAGCTTAATTAGTCCAAACCAACATGGTTTTATTAAAGGAAGGTCCACAGTCTCTAATCTTGCGATTTTTACGGAAGATTGTCTCTCTGCTTTTCAAGCAGGCCAGCAAGTCGACACAATATATACTGACTTTTCAAAGGCATTTGACAGAGTTTCTCACAAGGTCTTAGTGTCTAAATTATTCTCTATGGGTTTCCACTCTAATTTTTTGGAGTGGATTAAATCATATTTGTCTGATAGAAATTGCATGGTTGTGTTCGAGGATGTCTACTCACAGCCTTTTATTGCGACGTCGGGTGTTCCTCAAGGTAGTATACTTGGACCACTGTTGTTTATTTTATTTATTAATGACATAGGGTCCTGCTTCTCTTCATCTAAATATCTATTATATGCGGACGATCTCAAAATTTACTCCGTCATTAAATGTATAAACGATTCCATTGTCCTTCAAGGAGAACTCGTTAAACTACACGATTGGTGCAAACGAAACCGCCTTCATCTAAATATAAATAAGTGCTCACATTGTACTTATACCAGAAAGCTAATTCCGCTCCACACGCGCTATCATATTTCTGGATCTCCTCTTAACCATGTTAATGAAGTCAAGGATCTAGGTGTCTACTTCGACACGAAACTAAATTTTTCCACGCATATCGAATATATAGTTGGCAAATCATACGCGATGCTGGCTTTCGTCCGGCGAAATAGTTCATCTTTTTACGATCCATACACTTTGAAGCTGCTTTATATTACTCTAGTAAGATCCAGGTTGGAGTATGCGTCATTCATTTGGAGACCATACCACAATTCTCATATCACGCGATTAGAACGGATACAGAAAAAATTTATAAAATTTGCTTTACGCTCATTGAATTTTAGTGAACCCATTCCCTCATATGAATCACGTTGTGCACTTCTAAATTTACAAACTCTACGTAGCAGATCTGCTTATCTTGCTTGCTCATTCGTTGCCAATCTCTTGAATGGATCGGTTGATTGCCCTAACCTCTTGGAAAGAATAACTTTCAATGTTCCTACACGTAATTTACGCAGTGTTTCTTCTTTCTATATCGTATTTTCTAAAACGAACTATGCAATGTATGCTCCCTTGATTAGAACCTTAGTGGAGCTGAACAATATTCCAACTTTTGACCCGTCTCTATCTTGTGGAGTAGTTCGTACTTTATTATACAACTATTTTAACTAGTTTTAAGTACCTTTGAATTATAGTCAGTAAGAATTTATTGTTCAATTGACTGAAATAAATAAATAAATAAATATAAATAACGACGGTGAAATTATGAAACTTCTTGGCAAATACG